CCGTCTACGGTCAGGTCAGTGACTTGGTTGTTTAATTATTTTTTTGTTTAAAATGGACTGAAACGAAGTATAAACATACAACTGCTCTGTCTTGTACCGCGATTAATAGTTCTCTTGATCTTGTTAAGACCTTTACTGCGAGTAATTTTTAAATAATTAATCAATAAATTGCATTGTTGTAATTCGTTATTGATTCGTGGCTCATTCTGCCCTAGATATCCAAACACTGTGTAAGTGAAAACAAGGCTTTATCTGCGTGATAAAAAGGTTGATAGCCGTATATTGATTTTGAAATGGCTGCGTTTATCACCACAGGCAATGTTAATTTGACTTGAAAATTGGCTCTTCATGGGTTAGGCAAAGTGTCCGTGATAAAATTGTGACCAAACCATAGAATACTATATCTGGCCGGATCGAAGGAATTTTTTCTGAGTGTTCGATCTTTGTATTAATAATTATAGCAAACTAGTGGAGTAATTTCACAAAAAAATAAATGAATATCAATATATCAAATGTAATACAGTAGGTACCTAATATATTAAACGAAACTTCTAAAAAAATAATAATATCATTACTCAGTAAAAACGTTAAAAATAAATTAAAAAATTACTTTTTAGAAAAAATAAAAACATTAAAATTATACCTATCTAACTTTAACTAACAATATACATACTAACTCGCGTGTCCAACAGTGGGATGTACATACAAGGATTAGGGTTTAGTGACATCCTTTATTAACGACTCTCACGCATACTACGAGGAATGTCAGCACAGTAGTACGCACGCACACTATACACATATAAATATGCTTTTGTATGACGAATGAGCGGTACACGGAAAAACTCGATTATCTTATACTGGAATGTTTTATTGCTTTTGAAATGTAATCATAAATGAAGAAAAAATACGTGCTATTTCACACCATTCATCATAACTGGCGAGGGCCATGGTTCGCCACGCTGGCCCAATGCTGGTAGGGGCGCGACTCGAGCGCACACGTCACATAATGGAAAATGGAAAAATGGAAAATAGTTTATTTGTACCATCACAAACTACAAAATTCTTGTTACATATATTAATAAGTACTAGTTGTACAGTTAATTGTACTTTGTGAGGAAGCTCGAATCTAAACTAGGTCGAAACCTGTGCTATAGCTTCCAGGCCCCCCACCACGGAAATAATTATGACTTGAAACGTAAGCACTTAACAATTAACAAAATGTATGTCTGGTGTGCGTGCGTGTGTGGGTGTGTGTGTGTGTGTGTGTGTGTGTGTGTGTGTGTGTGTGTGTGTG